AAAAAAAAAAATTAATTCTATATTATAAATATAATTATTTTTATTTACCAAAATAATTAGTTTTGCAATAAATTCTCTGTGTCAAAAAATATAAATGTATAAAACATTGATCAGTATTCTGACGCTATAGTTTGAGCTAAAAATTAATTTAATTCTCATTTTCAACTATCTCTTTAAATAAAAATTGAATTTTGTATGTGAACAAGATTGTGTGCAAATAAATTGCAGTACAGAGTCAAACTTTCTGTTAAATTCTAAATATTAATACTTTTATTTTTATGTAATGTATTATAATAATACTGACTTAAAAAATTATACTAAAGAACTTATATATTTATACTAAAATTTATATAATACCTATTATAATTACCTATATTATAAATACCTATTATAGTACATATGAGTTTAATTATTATTCCACATTATGTTATGCTAAAGTCGTATTTAAACGATATATGATTTTATCTAGAATTGTATATTTTAATTGAATTATTTATATTAATATTTCTTACTAAATATTTAGAATAATAATACTTATATACTTATATAATTAGTGTAACACTTATACTAAACACTAAATAATACTAAATAAATCAATTTTATATAATAATAACAATAATAATAATAATGATCATGATGATAAAAAAAATATAAACAAAACTTGAGTAGTACTATTAAAATCAAAATTTGATTTCATATTTGCTTTGTAGTATCATATTAATTTCAATGGATTTTATTGATATTGTCACACATATTTTATGATACATTCACAAGAACACATTTATATGTATTATATACTTTTTATATAGATATCTTCTATTTAAAAAAAAACGTTACGAATAATTTATGGGTATAGTATAATCTAATAGATATAGTATAGTCGAATCTCAATTCTTATCTATAATTACGCAAAAAATCATTTAATTAAAAATGTGTCTACACTTGATTATGATGTAAAAAAATGTACATTAATATAAACAAATTTATTTATTATGACATACCTTTAAAACCTCGATTTCATTCTTCTGCCGAACTTTATAGGACTCAGAGGACATATTTTCTTCGCTTTATTATATTTTCATTATTCAATTTTAAATACTTATTAAAAATTATGAATGATTTAATTCATCTTTTGGCATTTAACCTTAAAGTTCATTGCAGTTCAAATGAAATTTAACACTAAGTATTTAAATTATTCACTAAAAACTTAAAGTATTCGCTAAAAATTTGAAACTAATGTACATACACTGTTATAGATATACTATTTCATAATTTAAAAAGACACTAATGTTAATTCACTAATAATTCCATGTTTGGATTGTTAAACAAGTAGTTTAAATTACAAAAGTATGTCTAAGATACCGAACAAGAATATATAACATAACTGTTCACCAACGAATCACACAACTTATATATCACTATGCTTAGTAGAATATACATGGAGCACGTGATTATCGTTTCAATATCGCGGGAAATTTAAAATATCATTCATATTTTTATATTCCAATTAATTTTGATATCAGTAATTTACTTATGAATTTTAAGATTACATGAATCTCATATAAATATTGTAATGCAGTATTATGAATTTTAAGATTACATGAATCTCTTATAAATATTGTAATGCAGTATTATGAATATTTATAAATATTTTAATGTAGTATCATGTAAATATGTAACTGAATATTTGTAAAAGTGAAAAATTTATAATTTATATAAGAACAAAAAATTTTTGTTTAAAAAATTACACTGATTTCTTTCAATAGCATATATTTCTGATTTGATATAGTTGTAACTGATATTAGGACAAGTTCAAAGATTTATAATGTGACCTTTAAATGACTTTAAGAGTAAAAATTTAAATTTGATTCAGGAATATACAAGAAAGTAGGTTTAAGGTATTAAGTTAGACAACATATTTAGGTATAATGTATGTACTAACAAATAATAAAATATTTTTTATTTGATAAAGTAAGAGTGTTTATTTATCAAAGTAAGAATCAATAAAAAATTGATTTCTATTCTTCAAATTAATGCTATTAATAAGTTATCTTGGTGTTGCTGCCAATAATTTGTAATGAAATAATTACGAATACATGTAAAAAATTAATTTTCATTTGATAAATAAATTATTATTCTGATAAATAAAAACTCTTATTTCGTTAAATGTGTATCAATTATGATTAAACTGTTGTAAATATGCATACATACCATTACAAAATTAATTGTTTCAAAATATTTTTTCATAAAATATTATGAAATATATAGTTTATAAATAAAATTTTCAAAACTTTAAGATTTACTATTATTGATTTAATACTAACCTTTTAAAAATAATTTAGTTTATAGTTCGTATTGTTAGTACTCAATTTCCGATTACTATTGCACAAGTAATTAAGTTCGTAATAAATATTATTTTCTTGTTATTCATACTTTTCTTGTTATTCTTGTTATTCTAACATCTTCTTAAAGACAAATAATTATTTTAAGTGTTCGTTACGTATAAATATTTGAAATTAAATTACTACTATTAATTGATAATTGATAATTGATGTAATAAATAAATAAATAATTATTTTAATGAAATCAAATAAATAATATCTTCAAGTTTCTGATTTTAATTATTCGTATAAACAACTGCTTTAATTATAACAAAACTTAGAAAAACAATGTCGGATTGTAATAACATGATGTTAATAATTTAGTCAACATTATGGTTATCAATGACCCAACCTAACATAACACAACCTATCTTTTTCACCCTCGTTTTGTGGTTTATGTAGTGTGACAAAAAGATATTCTAATGTCAAGAATCTTGCAAATTCGTGTCTGTTCACTCAAAAATAAAAAGTCCAAAACTTTTAATAAATAAATATAAAAATTTTGTTCAATTTTATATTAAAACCCGAATGTGTCACTATAGTGCATTGGCAAAATTTGGATAACGATTGTTCCGTAACGAGGTTCTGTACCTCGTCTGATATAATTTTTCCTTTTTAATTTACGTAGAAATTAAATAGTAGTAGCAAAATGGTTCTCGCAGATTTAGGCCGTAAAATAACATCTGCACTTCGATCCCTTAGCAATGCAACTGTCATCAATGAGGAAGTAAGTATTCCTACAGTAACATAACCTTAAAATTCATGTTGATACAACTAATTAAAATTGTAACATATGTTGATATATGTTATTCAATATATGTTAAATTATGAATATTTTCTAGATGTTTTTCATTTCCTCAGTATAATTAATTTAATGAACTTCATAACTTGTAGTATTCAATTTATTAAAAAGTCAAAATAATAATTATTGATATAAATATTGACTGATGTCAAAAGAAATATTTTAACATATTTATATACATTTGTATATATATATGTATATATAAATATATATATTGTTTAGAAATGAAATATTAAAGTAGATATATATATGAGTGTCCAATTTGTAGTTAGTACAATATTGAATTATAATATATAATAAAAATTTTATGGTTTCTTTATTATAAATTTTAAACTTTTACTAAACTTCTAATATTTTTATGTTGATAATATTTTGAAAGAAAAATCGATTAAGCTTTATTTGCATTATAAAATAACATTTTTATTTATACTTCATATAATATTCTTATATGATAAAATTTGTGACAATAAATATTTATAAACATATGTTATAGTTCATGAATTTAAAATAATAAATTTTAAACAATCCAAATTTTTAATTTTAATTTTGTTGTTTTATGAGTCAGTGTGTATTAGTGTAAGTCATATGGGTTAATGTAGTTTGCTTTAATTAATATTCACATAGCTAGAATATTGAAAGTAGAATGTTGAAATAGTATTTATTAATTAAAGTAATATAAGAACATTATTATATTCTTATATTAATATCTTTTTGATAGGTTTTAAATTCTATGCTAAAAGAAATATGTGCGGCATTACTTGAATCAGATGTTAATATTAGGCTTGTCAAAAAGCTAAGAGAAAATGTACGTCTGGTAATTGATATTAACGATATAGCTGGTGGCCTTAATAAGAGGAGAATGATACAGAGTGCTGTATTTAAAGAACTTGTAAAGGTATGTTAAATAAATTATTTGTTATTTAAAAGCAAATATTGACAAAGATAAATGTTTTATGTTATGTATATATGAAATATAAATGTTTTAAAAGCAACAATATCGCACTGAATATATTAACGAATCTGTCGATTACTTAGTAATATTATGCACATATAATTTTGATCTTTATAAAGCGTTAATTTTATATTAAATGTTTACTATCATTTTTTTGCAACATAGCTATTATTAATTTTTAATCGTATTTGTTTATCTTAATCATATTTATATGATTCCTTATTTTTACTATTATAATTATTTATACTATTATAGATTAATCAACTAATATCATTTGATCTATTATAATTATCTAGTTTTGAATTTCTTTTAAAATAGAGACATGCATATGAAATATTTTATGATTATTTTGTTGCAGCTCATTGATCCTGGAGTGAAAGCTTATCAGCCAATCAAAGGACGTCCCAATGTAATTATGTTTGTTGGTTTACAAGGTTCAGGCAAAACAACTACTTGTACAAAACTTGCTTATCATTATTTAAAGAAAAATTGGAAGGCTTGTTTAGTTTGTGCTGATACTTTCCGTGCTGGCGCATATGATCAAATAAAACAAAATGCAACAAAAGCAAGAATTCCATTTTATGGAAGGTGAGCAACAATTTAAAAATTATTTTTTATTCATCTCGATTTTAATGAATTTAAAATATGTTGTCAAGATTGTTATTTTGAATAACTTTTTATATATATTTAATATAATAATATAATATAATAATATAATAATATAATATAATAATATAATATAATAATATAATAAAACTGAACAAATTTATTATTTAGCTATACAGAAGTTGATCCTGTTACAATAGCACAGGATGGCGTGGAAATGTTTAAAAAAGAAGGTTACGAAATTATTATCGTTGACACTAGTGGTAGGCACAAACAAGAGGAGTCTTTGTTTGAGGAGATGCTTCAAGTTGCAAATGCAATTGTAAGTAATTTTCTATATATTTCAAGTACTTTCTAATAAACAGAAATCAATAATATCTGAATTAAGAAACTTTATTTTCTATTAATAAGTTAAAAAATATAACTTATTAAATTATATTTTAATAATTGTACTAACTTAATAAATTATCATAGGTCATAAACTAACTTTAATAAATTATCATAGGTCCTTTTTAAGATAAATAAATTTATAGAATGAAATAATACTTTCACTATATATTTTAATATATATTAGTATATTTATTTTAATTAATAAATAAAATTTATTATTTCTAGCAACCAGATAATATAATTTTTGTAATGGATGCAACGATAGGTCAGGCTTGTGAAGCTCAAGCAAAAGCTTTCAAGGAACGTGTTAATGTCGGCTCTATTATTATTACAAAACTGGATGGACATGCAAAAGGTGGAGGTGCTCTTTCAGCGTAAGCATATATTTCATAATTTAAAAATAGCTTCTTCAAACTTTTATAAAAAGTTTTATAAAAACTTTTTCACATGCTTATACTTTTAAAAAATGGTATTTAAATTATATTCATATTTAAATAATATTATAAGTAAAAATAATATTTAATTAAATTAGTACAAGAAATAATTCGACTAAAAATAATAATATTAAAAGATAGTAACAATGACTATGGTAATATTAGTAATAATTCTCAATAATTCAGTAAAATGCAGTTATCAAAGTGATATTTATATTGCTTATAAATTTTTCATAAAACAATTAATACTTGTATAAGAATATATTTTTAATTGGTGCTTGATTGATGCAATATAACGAAATTTAACTTAATATTTTACATTGTAATCAAATCAGAGAAATTTAATTTTGTAAAAATTAGAGATTCTTGATACAATATATGTAAGTATATTTCTATAGAGTTGCCGCAACACAAAGTCCAGTAATCTTTGTGGGTACAGGAGAGCATATAGATGATTTAGAACCATTCAAAACAAAACCTTTTATTAGTAAATTATTGGGTATGGGTGATATTGAAGGACTTATAGACAAAGTAAATGAATTAAATCTTGATGATAATGAAGAACTACTTGAAAAAATCAAACATGGACATTTTACTCTGAGGGACATGTATGAACAGTTTCAAAATGTTATGAAAATGGGGCCATTTTCTCAACTAATGGTAAGTTTTATATTTTTAATATTTTTTAAAAGATTCATTTAAATTTAGTTTTTCATTTGTAATTTACATTTTTATTTTCTGTTTATAATTCTTATAATATCTTATAAATTTATATACATTTATATATTCAAAATTTTTGGTTAAAATAAAAGAGATTTTTTGTT